AGCAAGACTGTCTCATAAAGGAAAAGAAAAGAGAGACCTTATGTGTGGAAGCAGAGCAGGAGCAGGCCAAGGTCAAGGTCAAGTACTCCAGCCCCTTCTCTTCTCCTTGGGCTACTGCTTCCCAGAGGAGGGCAGCTCTTGGATCTGTTCAGCCACATTCCTCTCCTGCCCCCTGTCTCAGCTTTCAGGATGTGGCTTCAGGGGCACTGCCTCCAAGAAGTCTGCCCTGGCTCCCGGTGAGGGCTGCTGCTCTCTTGTTTGTGCCCCCACAGCTGGGGGGTTGCACCACCAGGGTTCAGAGCAAGTTTAACTTGCGTGTGTGAAAGTCCGTGGCTCTCAGGCCAGGAGGGATGGGTCCTCCCAAAGGGAAGAGCCCCAGGCAACAGCTTCAGCCACCCTCCCTGCCCAGTACTGCCCTGGCCCCAGGGACCCCACCCTGCCTCTCTCCCTTCAATTAGTGTAGCTGGCTTCTGCACTTCATGCAGATGCAATCACCTACGAGTTCTCATGGGCCTGGCCTCTCGCAGGTCCCAGCCATGCTCTTACACTTGCAGATGTTTTGTTCTCACTGCTCTGTAGTGTCCCTGTGTGAATACACCATGATTCCTAGTACTTTGTGGCTCCTCGTACTTTGGCCATTCATGGTTAGTGCTGTTAAGAACATGCTGCTCCCGTCTCTGGTGCACAGGGGCTCTGTGTTCAGTTTTAATGGCTGTAGCTGAGCTCTGCTTCAATTTATTCCCACTGGTGGTACCAGGGCTGTGGCCGTGACTCCTGGCCCATAGGGGACACAAATGAAAAAGAGGAGGAGGAAGGAGATTGAAAAGATAGAAAGAGAAAGAAAGGAAAGAAGAAAGGAGGGAGGGAAGGAAGGAAACAGGAAGGAAGAGGGAAGGAAGGAAGGGCAAGGAAGCAACTGCTCAGGGCCCTGCTCCCTGCTGCTGCCCCAAAGACAGCTGGGGCACAGCTTCAGCCCTGCTGAAGCCCAGCTGGGCTCCCTGGTTCACAGGAAGCTTTGTGTGCCATGGAAAGGAAAAATTAAATTCCTCTACCGCCACCTTTTTTTTTTTTTGCTGCTGGGGATGGAACCTAGGGTCTTGCTCGACCCCTGCTCTACCTCTAGCCCTAATAACTTTCTTTCTCAACAGTTTTGCTTCAGGACAGAATCTTCTGAACAAAGGCCCAGGGGTTGGGGCCTGAGGAGTGAAGGGGCAGCAGGGTCCCTGGTGGCAGCAGGAAGGTGAGGCACTGGGTGGGAAGCACTGGAGGATCCCCCTGCTGGGTGGACTCTGAAGGCCAGGCTTGGAGACTGGCTGAGCAGACGGGGATGCCAAACCCCTGCCCCAGAAGCACTGCCTCTGCTTCTTGCTATGAGAATAGCTCCCGCCCACCTTCCCTTTTGCTTCAAGCAGGGGCAGCGCTCTGCATTGTTGGTCAAGGCTAGGTGCCAGCAGGGGTTCCTGGGCAGCACAGGAGCATGGAGGGGCTCCCCAAGACACTATGTGGACCTATCCTCTGGGCAGGCAGGCAGGGTGAGTGGGGATGAGGGTCTGGACCCAGGGAGACCTAGTGCTGCCCTGGGCTCCTTGCTTGGGCACAGACCCCAAAGCCAGCCAAGACCCCGTGTCAGCCAGAGCCCAGAGGGGCCAGGGCAGGTCAAGTGCAAGTGAGCTTGCTCCCTCTGCCTCGACAGCCCGGTGCCAGCCTTGGCGCTCCCCACGCAGATTGGCATGTAAAGAAGGTGAACTCTCTGGCCTGTACTCCAGGCCTTGGACTGCGGGTTCCTTAAATCCTCAGAATGGAGACCTCATTACCTCACAAGGAACCCCTGCTCTGGCCTGCAGCTTTGATAACAATAAAAGCCACCATTTATTCTAACTTCTCCCAAAAGGCACTGAGCCTAATACTCACGTGCTTTATTTCTCTGGGCTCCATGAGACAGACACTATTACTACCACCTCCACTTTGCAGTCGAGATAGCTGAGGCTCAGAGCCTTAGAGAGTCCTCAAATCACGTGGTAGATGCAAGGGCTGTAATGCAGTGTGGTCCTTCGGTAGCAATGAGCACACCCAGCACCACAGTCCAAAACTAAAGGAGCCGCACACTCTTTGGAGAAATGGCTGCGTCTAGCACAGGGGCGAGATAAGTGCCTGGAGCATCCTGGGGAGTCCCAAGCCGAGCAAACCAAGCTCCAAAGGACAGGACAACTGGACATAGAGGCACATGCCTAATCCCAGCCTCTCCGGGGAGGCCTCTCCTGGCTCTGCAAGGCTGAGACAGGAGAATCACATGTTCGAGCCCAGCTTGAACAACTTAGCAAGATTCTGCTTCAAAATGAAAAAAAAAAAACAAAAAACCAAGGCTGGGGATGTGGCTGCACATAAGGCCTGGGTTCAATCTCCAGTACCAGGGGAAAAATACAGGGTCATGGCAGGCAGACAAAGGCAGCCTCTGAGCAAAGCTGGAGTGGTCTGAACAATGAGACAGACACCATCGAACTGGATCACACCCGAATACAGAATGCACAGACACAGGAGTCCAGGAGTCCAGGTGTAAATGACTGATTTACAGATGAATTCTGAACATTGCTAGATGTGCCCTCCAGGAGGTGGTGTGGTCCCATCCCTCACTCAGGATGAGATTCACGTGCTTCCAAACAACAAGGAGTGGAGAGGAGAAAGACTAGCTTCACAGCAGGAAAGCCCAGCAGACACCACTGGCCCATCACCAGGATGAGTGGCAGGGTGTGGCTCAGTGGCAGAGTGTGGGTGAGCATGTGTGAGGCCTCCACTCCATCACCAGCACCCCTCAAAAGAGATTTTCTTTTAGGGTCAGGGATTTAACTCAGCAGTGCCGTGCCTGCCAGTACCAAAAAAAAACAAAACAAGAGATTTAAAAAAAAAAATCAGCTACACAGGAGGCTGAAGCAGAGAAATTGTGAGTCTGAGGCCAGCCTGGAGTACATGGTGAGATCCTGTCTCAAAGAAAGAAAGAAACCACCAGTGGTGGGTCACGTGGACTTCGAGTGCACACGGCATCATGTGGTGAGGATACTTTATTTACCTCAGTGGTTTTCTTCTCCAAGCCTCATAGTCCTGTCTAGTCATGAGGAAAACATCAGATACACCCAAATTGAGGGACAGTCTATGGAACACTGACCCAATGCCTCAAAATTGTCCAGGTCATGAAAAAAAAGGAGAGGCTGAGAAACTCGCAGACCAGAGAAGACTAAGACATGGCATTTAATGCAGTGTGGGATCCCAGACTGGGCCCCAAAACAGAAGAGGGCACTTGTGGCCAGGCATGATAGCACACGCCTGTAATCCCAGCACTTGGGGTGGGGGGCTAAGGCAGGAGGATCACTTCGAGTTCGAGGCCAGCCTGAGCTAATAGCAAGACCCTGTTTCAGTAAAACAACAAAAATGAAAGAAAAAGGCACTTGTGGAAACTGAAACCTGAATAAAGTCTGCATTTCAGTTCATGGTCCCATACAGAAGCTGGTGTCTTCCTCACGACAGGTGTGCCGGAGTCGTGTAGGATGATAAAGGAGGGCATTGTAAGAGGGGTGTACAAAACTCCCTGTCCCACCTCTGGTTTTCCTGTACATCTAAAATTATTCAAAAATAAAAAGGGGGGCTGGAGCAGAGCTCAGAGGTACAGCATTTACCTTGTGGATGAGGTCCTAGGTTCGATTCCCAGCACCGAAAAAAGAAAGTCATTCCCAAAGACTTCTCCACGGCCTGAACCCCTCTCCACCCGGCTGCCTCTGATCTTGGACCCCCTCGCCTGTTCTCACCCCACCGCCTCCTTTTGAGGGTGCTGGAAGCCCCTCTCCCATGAGTCCACAACTCCAAACTGCGTTCCCAGGCCCTTCCGCTGTCTCGTGGGACTTGGATTTCACGGATCACTGGCCTCCTCTGCCTCAATCCCTCCCTCCCAGAAGCTGCTACTTCTTCTTGGGCACCCATGGGATCCCATGTTGGTCTAATCAGGGCCAGGGATTTAGCTCAGTGGTTCCGCCACCTGCCTTGCAAGCACAAGGACCGAGTTTGATCCCTGGTACCAAAAAAACCCAAAAACAAACAAACAAAAAACCCAAAAAACCAAGTTGGTCTAATCAGACAGGAGCCCAGGCCTCTGAGAACAGTGACATTTTTCTGCCCCATAGGGTATGAGTGAAAAACCTTTAGAAGATTGGGAGGAGGCTAACACCAAGGACCAGAGTGAAGAAAAGAACTGGGTTTCAGTGACATCAATGAGCCATTTGATCAAGCCTTGCCTGAAGCCTGCATTACTTCTTTACTTGTAAGAACTGTGGTAGGGTGAAAAATGGTCCCCCAAAGTGTACCTATGCCTTAACCTCTGGAACTTATTGTTACATGATTTTTTTTTTTTTTTTGGTACCAAGGATCGAACCCAGGACCTTGTGCTTACAAGACAGGCAGCAGAACCACTGAGCTAAATCCTGGGCCCTGACTTTTTAAAAAGCAAGTTAGGGATGTCTCTTTTTTTTTTTTTTTGGACAAGTTCTTGGTATGTAGGTCAGGCTGGCCTTGAACTCACTGTATAGACCAGGCTGCCCTCAAACTCATGATGACCCTCCTGCCTTCAGTCTTCTGAATGCTGGGATTACAGGCGTGTGCTACTACACCTGGCTTGGGGTGTCCTTGAAAATGTCAGGGTATGGGGACATTATATGGGTGGGACCAAAATATAATCCCATGCTTTAAAAAGGGAGGCAGAGGGAGGTGTGATAAGGACACACAGAATGGGTAAAGCGACCATGGAGCCAAAGAGCTGAACGACTTGACCACGAGTCAAAGGACATTGGCAGCCACCAGGAACCAGACAAGCGAGGAACAATTCTCTCCTGAGATTTGGATGGAGCCCAGCTCTGTGACACCGGGCCCTTGGGCTAGTGACACCGTTTTAGATTTCTGACCTCCACGGCTGTGGGACCCAGTTTGTGATCATTTGTTGCAGGACCATAGGAAACAAATGCCAGAACTAACATCTCTTTAATAGTTGATACGGTGTTACTTGCAGCTGAAAGTGGCCTGCTACACAGCCCCTCCATCCCCTGGTCACTCTTGGGGTGAAGAGAATTCTGGAAAAGGCCAGTTCCAGGGGCGGCAGGTGGAGATCCTCCTGGTTGGGGGGCAGGGGCTGGGGAGGGGCTGAGCCACAGCTCCAAGCAAGGCAGGAGGGGAGTTTGTTAAGTCACAGAGCCAGGCTTCCAGGGCCAGGGCAGGGAGGAGCTGGAGAGGAAGACTCGAGATGCGAAGGTCCCAGCACCCCTCAGCCCCGAGCGTCCCGTCACAGCCTTGCACGGGGACCAAGAATCGGCAGGGTGGAGGCACAGGAGGAAGAGAAATCTGGGCCTGGTCAGGTCCCACTGGACACCTGTTGTGGACCCCAAGCCAGAGGAAGAAGCTGTCCACAGCCCTCCAGCATGGACACTGAAGAGCCCAGAGGACAGGGACCCTTTGGGGCTCCAGCTCCTGCACCTGGCCTGTGCCCTTGATGCCGGGGCCACAGATAGAGAGGTCAGCAGTGGCAGCCTGTGCATGGTGATGCCACAACTGCACAGTTTTTGGGCAGCCAGGCAGAGAGCGGGCACCCCGGTTGCACAGCCCATCATGCAGGTGGCTCCCCCAGCTTGCTGGCAGCACTCGTGACCCGCTTGATCTCCCGGAGGTTTCGGAGGCGGGCGCTGAGGCTGCTGATCTCTTCCACGTAGGCCTGGGGCACCCAGCCCTTCTCACCATCAGCCAGGCGGACCCCCTGGAGCCAGCCTGGGGACACAAAGCCAAGAGTGGCATGGTGGCACCAGGACTGGGAGGGAATGCTACAGGGCCTGGTGACCTTGTGGCAGCCTCACCCTGTCCAGGAAGCACCCTGCCCTCGAAGATGAACTTCTGACCTCCTGACTTCCTTGAGAAGGGTATTTCCCACTCCCACCCCAACCCACCGTCACTTCTGTCCTACAGCTCTGTGCAGGAAGTTCCCCCACTTGTCAAACCCGATTCCTGATGCTGTGGCTGATATATGCTTGGATGACCTTTCCTGGGGGTGGCTTTGCCATGGCCTCCTGTCCCCCAGCCCAGCCAAGGAGGACTTCCTAGGAGGGCCCACTCACCGTCACTGGTCCGTGTCCTCACTGCCAGGATGTCTGTCTTCTCCAGAGTCAGCTCGTCGGGTTGCAGGGCCTTGTATGTCCTGACACACTGAACCTGGGGGTGGTCTGGCGCCACAGGGAGGGTCAGGCGGTCCCCTGTCCACCTGCCTCCTGGCCCCGCCCACCTGAAGCACAGCCCTTGGGTTCCCACTCTGGCTCAGGGTTCTCAGTTCCCGGCACAGAGCCACACCTTGCTCCTGACCTCTAGCCCCATGTCCGATCTCCCCCAGCTCCCCACACAGATGTGGCACCCTGACACCACTCTGGTGCTCCCTCCTGTGCATCCTCAACTCAGATTCCAGCCATGTGACTCCACAGTTTCAAACCCACCAGCACCTCCCACTTCAAAGTCCTCCCCAGGCCCAGGGATTTAGCTCAGTGGTTCTGCCGCCTGCCTCAAAGCGGAAGGTCCTTAGTTTAATCTCCGGTACCAAAAAAACCCCCAAAAACCCAAAGTTCTCCCCAGGCCCACAAGACTCTGCATGGTCTGGCATTGTCCTCTTGCCAGCCTCATCTCCTCTTCCTCCTCTCTCCTGCACATTCCTTACCGTTCCCCAAACCACCCCAGTGCCCTCTTGCCTCAGGGCCTTTGCACAGGCAGCTCCTTCTGCCAAGGGTACTCTCCAGAACTGTCCTTGGCTGCCTCTCCTCATCCTTTAAGGTCAAGGGTTACTTCCCAGGGGACTTTGCTGACACCTGTCCAGAGTATGGGGTTCACCCCTAGATAGAGGGGCTCCCAGGCCAAGCCAGAGAATCTGCCCCATTCTAGGCCCTCAGCTCTTTCCACCAGACTCGGGGAATGTAGGGGAGCAGGGGTGGCAGGCTACTACCTTCCCCCTCACTGATGACCTCCTTGTCCTCCCGGGCGCTGGAAGGGCACAGGGCTGAGATCCATCGCTGCTTCTCACTTCTGGGGAGGGAGAGGGGGACGTCATTGTCACAACGGGCACAGCACGGCAGTCCACAGTGGGGTGGGGACTGGGAATGAGGTGTGGGACCCGGACGCTGGCAGGTCTGCTCCCACCACAGGCCCAACCCAGCCCAGAGCATGAGGACAGGCCCAGGAACTCCTGAATGCCAGCTCCGCCCACTTCCTGCTTCATCCCACCACCCTGAAGCCAGAGGTAAAGAGGGCCGGGGCTGACACCAGGAGGGACCCAGAGGCAGGGAGCATACACTACTCTGCCCGCTGGCCTTGCTCTCTGCCCAGGCCAGGGGAAAGCTGGGCTGTGGGGTCCCAGGTGTCCCACCCAGGGCTCCTGCCTCCCCACGCCCAGCCCCACTCACTCCGTGCGGGCCCTCAGCAGGAACTGGTGCTTGGTGTGCTGCCTGGGGAGCAGCTGCAGGAGAAACACGTGGCCAGGGATGCCCTGCAGCTTCAGGCTCAGGTCCCGCACCTGCAGCTCCGCCATTTTGGCGTGGATGAAGACGGCAAACTTCCCCAGCCTGAGGACGGGAGGGTGGGTCAGCCGGGTCCCGGTGAGGTGAAGTAGGGAAAAGAGGTGGTTTCCCCCTACAGCAGCCTCCCCAGGGGAATGTGGCCGCACAGGGTGCCATATCCTGAGAAGCCAGGAACGTCCCCACGAGGGAACAGAACCCCATCCCTGCTTGTTCTGCTGGAAGCAGAAGGTGACTTTGGATTTCCTCCTCCTCACTGTCCCCACAGTCCACTTACCCTGGGGCTCCTGCCACCCCCAGAGCTCTTATGCTCACACAAGCAAGAGCTTCCAGTCTTTCCTTCTCTAGTCCATCCCCAAGCCGGCCAGGAGTACCACGTAGTGACTCTGACATTCTTTTGCTGTTCTCCATGCTCCCTGCAGTCCTCAGAACAAGTCTAACCTCTCCACACTTGACTTTCAACATCCCAATTTCCCTCTGCTGCCCTTCTCTACAAGTCTGGCCGCACTAGGCTTTGTCATTCCCCAAACACACTCTAACATGACTTAGGGGTAGTCCCTCCTCCAAACTGCCTCTCTACCTGGAAAACTCTTACTCTCCTTTAAAACCCAGCTCAAATGTTCCTTGCTCTGTGAAGCTTTACTGATTCCCACACTAGGGGGAATGAGTACCCTCTTCCATCAAAACCCCAATGGTCCGGTTATCAGGGTACATTTTCACTGTTCTAAGAGTTTCTACAAGCAGAGAGTGAGTCACATTCATATTTAAGTCCCCTCTACCCATCAGAGGACCTGGTCCAGAAGAGGGGTTCACTGACAGTTTATTGAGAAAACAAATAAATCAGGAATGAACTCTTCTCATAGCTCACGATGCCATCCTCCATCCCATCTTCTTCCTCAACCCTCCCCTCAGCACAGTCACAGCCGGGAAGGAGCAAGGGCTCCCCACACCCCAGGCCCCGTGCTGAGCTATGGCGCTAGGTCTCCCTGCATGGCATCTCTTTTGCAGACGGAAGGCAGGGCAGTGCGGTGGGAAGAGCCTGGAGCCTGGCACCAGAGAGAGCTGGCCACCTCCTGGCTTCTTCCCTCCCGGGGCTCCCTGCCCTCGGGACTAGCAATCGAGTCGCCTTCCTAGTGAGGGATCTGGAGGCTGAAGGGAACAGTCCCTGCGGCTGGCCTGGCACAGACAGACACTGAGCACTGTGGAGCTGGGCCTTCGGGATGCACACCCTCTCTGCTCTCACTGGCAAGCTCAGAGCACAACCAGTCCTCCACTCCCACGTGGAAAGTGGGGCAGCCCAGTGGGAGCCTCCGGGTTCAGGGTGCCCTGGCAGCCCCTTAGGTGGTACGCCCAATGGTGAAGGAAGCCTGGTTCCTGTTTCCCCCCACCCCACCCCAACTCACTCCTTCCGCCGGGACAGCAGCAAGCAGTCATTGAAGAGGTGCAGGTAGACTGCTTTGCTGGACAGCTTCAGCTTGGCAGGTGGCGCCGTGGGCAGTGGTGCCAGCTCCACCAGCTCCCCATGCCGGACTAGCCAGCGGGCCTGAGAGATCAGCGGGAAGATCTGGGGAGGAGGAGTAGGCAAGGGCAAGGAGTGGTGAGGCCCAGGGGCTCTTGACAGGGAGCACAAGACAGGGGCTGGTGGGGTGGGCCTGAAGGGCTGGATGGGGGAGGAGAGAGCAAGGGTGGTCTGTGTGCCCATCCCACCAGCTGCGGGCACACACCTTGCCCTCAAAGTGGATCTTCTTGCTCAGGTGGATGAGCTCCTCGGTCCTCTTCATGGACTGTACGCTGGCGTTGCACTCCTGCACCAGCTGGAAGGGTGGGCAGGGAGGTCACCTGCAGGCCCCCAGCAGCCCTGGCAGAGCCCCACCTCAGACCAAAGACTGGGGAGCCTTCAGGAACTCAGCAGCCCCTGCTCGGCTGAACTCACCTCCTTGAGCACATTGAAGGCCTTGGTGGCCATGTCTTCGTCCTGGGAGCCCTGTGTTGTCCGCTTCAGGATGTTCTGGGGGGCGAGAACCGAGCACAGTGAGGAGGTCCAGCCTCCCAGAGACCTTGCCCAGGCCTGGTCATGTGACTTCCCAGCCCAGCCCCCAAGGTCTCTGGGTACCTCCACCAGCATCTTGAGGCGGGTGATCCTCTGAAAGGGCAAGATGAGGAAGGAGGTGAGGGGCAGCCGCTGGCACATGGGAGACTCCTCTAGGCGGGCCAGGATGCCAGGGAACTTGGGGTTCTCCAGGCTGGAAAGAAGAGAAAGGTCTGGAGTCCCAAGAGGGCATGAACTCCTGAGCTCCAGGGCCGCGTCACCACCACCCCACTGGTTCTTTGGGTGTCACTCACCCGGGTCACAGAGCCCCTTTCTGGGAGCCTTCACCACCCAGTCCTCTGACCAGCACCTGCCCGGCCTCCCCCACTCCCAGGGCCCCAGCCCTACAGCAGGCGCTGGTAGGTGCGCTCCTGGTAGGCCTGGTTGGTGACGTAGGGCAGGTAGACGCGGCGGAAGGCCGGGCAGTGGCGCAGGACCACGTCGCAGACGCTGAAGTGCAGCACATCTGCTTCCAGACGTTGCTCCAGGTCCTGCAGGAACCTGGGCAGGGTGGGGGTGGCAGGCCTCAGAGCCAGGGCCTAGAACCCAGATCTGGGGGCCCATCCCCCCACAGGCTCGGTTCCCACCCACCCAGGCCAGACTACTCCCTCACCCCTCACTGGTGCTCTTAACCTCAGGCAGTTTGGAAAATAACCACTGCTTGTCCTGCGCCCCCAGACACTCGCTTAGCTCAGTAGAACCCAAGAAGTGGCCCACAGCCACCGACAGGCTGTGGATGTAGGAGGCCTCGGAGGTGATCAGCTCAAACTTGGCCTGAAGGAGAGCAGATGCAGGGTTCTAAGGGCCAGGCTACCCCACCTGGACCTTGGCCTTGACTCTCCCACCCTAAGGCATCCGGTCCCTGCCCTCTCTCCATTCCCTCACCTAATCCGGAACCCTAATCCCCAATCCCCCCACTCCAGCAAGGGCAACTGTACAAACCCCCAGGGAGCACTCGACCCCTTCCCTTCCCTAGCCCGGCCCACCACCCCGCCCTAATCTTCCCGAGGGCCTCCACTCCCACCGTGCTCTTTTGCATCAGTCCCTAGCCCTGCCCCCGCTCATCACGTGTCTGCGCTCCCAGTGGCCCAGCCCCTTGCCTGCCTCCGCCTCTCGCTTCTCCACTTGCCTCGGCCTCAGGCTTGCATCCTCGCGGTCACCCTCCGAGGTGACAGCCCCGCCGCCCCGCCTTTGTGTGGCCTGGTCCCGCTAAGTCGGAACCACTAACTCCCGCCCATTCCACCCGCTCGCAGCCCACCTCCTGCAGCTTGCAGTCGCGCAGGCTGAGCGTGGCCAGGACCCCGCTGCCGCGCACGTCGGGGATGTCCTGCCACAGCGAGAAGGTGGAGCCGCGCGCAGCGCGCTGTGCCCGGAAGGAGCTGCTCGGGGAGAGGTTGGCTCGTGGCGGCCCGGGCCCCTCCTCCGCGCCCTCCGCCTCGTCCCCGGGGGCCTCCTCCTCCCGCTGCTGCCGCCTCAACTCGCGGGCGCTGGCCACGTCGCTGTACTCCTGGTATAGGACGGCTGGGGGGGCGAGGGGCGTGAGGACGGGCCGCGGGGCACCTGGGTCCCCAGAGCCGGTCCCATTAAGCCTCACAGGGGTTCCAACATGCGGACGCGGGGAATTCATTCATTCCTCATTCATTCATTCCACACTGAGCACCAACTGCGTGTGAGCCGGAGCTAGATACTGAGAATTCCGTTCTCCCCTCTCACAGATCGCCACCTCCCAGCTCCCCCAGACCCGTTTTCCCGGCTTCCACACCTCGCTCCGCCCGCGCCCCCGCCCCGTGACCCTTTCTCAGAGACCCTGTCCACCTACAGTTAAGGAGGAATCGTGATTGCCGCCGCTCATGGTCGCACTTAGGATCCGGAGGCAGCTCTTCCTGCGCGTCCCGCCTAGGAAAGAGTGTCAGGGCCCTTGCCTGTCTGGACCCTGCCTCGCAGCGCTCCCGGACTGGAAGGTGGTTGGTTACCTGGGATCTGGCCAGTCGCCATGGCCCTCGCTCTGGTCAACAAGTGCTGACCCGGCTACACTGTCCACCCTCACCTCTACGGTTCGAGACTCCCTTCCAGATGCTTTGCCTAGAGAAGGCAAGAGCTGAGTGTGGGCAGCCCAGGGAGTAGACCCACACCCAGCTGAGCAGCACCCAGCCCCGGTGTCCCAGGAGTGGGCCATGCTGCACCCCGCATCCGGCTCATGGGCTTCGGGGATTGGTGGTACCTTCCGGGCCGGCTCCGGTGCCTGCCCCAGAGGCAAGGGCCCTGGTGGCAGAGCTCCGTCCCAGGCGCAGGGAAGAGTGCAGCCGGGTCATTAGCTCAGAGGCAGAGAAGCGCCTCCGCTCAGGGCCCTCAAAGCCCACTCTAGGGGTCCCAGACAGCTCCACAGGCCTGGGCTCCTCTGTGTGCAGGGCTGGCTGCTGTGCTGCCCGGCGGGGCTCCAGGAAGACAGCATGGGCCTCAGGGCTGCCAGTGGCCTCTTCGAGCTGGTACACCCTCATCTTGCGCCCTGCGGTAGGGAGGGCACAGGCTGGTCCCACTGGGGTCTCTCCCTACTTCTCTGCTGCTGCCCACGTTCCTGAGCATCCCAGGAGGCGCCATGCCTCAGGGATAGGCTGAGGTTTCTGCCGGGATCCACTCGCCAGGGAAACAGGATCATTAAGAGGGATGCTGGTGCCGCCACCTGCCCCACAAGCATAAAGTCCCAAGTTTAATCCCCGGCACAGAGGGAGAGAGAGAGAGAGGAAGAGAGAGAGAGAGAGAGAGAGAGAGAGAGAGAGAGAGAGAGAGAGAGAGGGAGAGAGAGAGAGAGAGGAAAAGAGAGAAAGAAAGAGGGATGGAGACAGCACAGGGTCTGGGATAGGAAAAGGAGCCAGGATCTCCAGGACAGATTGACCTCCTGTGTAACATTGGACATGTCACCCTTCCTGAGCATCAGTTCCTTTATCTCTAAAATCTACCACTTGTCCTTACTTTCAGGGAACTCTGGGACTCAGAGGGTCCAGAAAGAACCACCCAGCCCTTCCCCTAGCTACCCCCCACCAGGGTGACTCACAGGCCGACTTCTTCTCTGAGCCATGGCTGGCCCGGCGCTGCGGCTGCATGTTCGGAGAATGCCAGGGTCCCTCCAGAGCTGGGGGCTGGGCTCCAGGACAGTGGGGCCAGCTGCCAGCCCTGCTGGGACGCATCCCTGTGCTGGTGGAGATCTCCATATCTGAGCCTGCTGGGGATGGGGGCCATAGCAGCCCTTGAAGCAGGGCAGGGGTCCCTAGGGACCAGCGGCTCCCAGGAGCCCTTAGCTCCTCTGGGGCAACAGGGAAAAGGTCCAGACACAAGGGACTCAGAGGCTGTAGGGTGGGCAGCTCCACAAAGGACAGGCTTTCCTGCTGGCACACGGCTACTGGGCGGGGAGCAGCGCCAGACGGCCTGGCCAGGTGGGGCTGGAGGGTCGAAGGTGGCCCACAGTCCATTCCTCCTTTGCTGTGCCACCCACCTGGGCCTGCAAAGGAGAAGGTATCAGACCCAGACATAGGATGACAATGCTGGCCAGTAAGCTGCCACATCCAGGAGGCCTGGACAAAGCCTGGTGTACACATGCACACACCCACCTGTGCAAAGACACTCATGGCTAATTAGCAATACCTAATACTTACTTGGCACTGCCTAAATGACAGCCAATGTTCTCACATATCACCTCATTTAATCCTCACAGTAACCCTATGCATTGATGCTGTTATTATCCCCATTTTATAGGTGAGGAAAGTCAGGGAGAAGAAGGTAGTTATTTGGTCAGTGAGAGCCAGGCTTGTCAACTCAAATTTACCTCTCAGTCTGCACAATTGTTTTCCCCAAGTACACACACAGACACACTTTCAAGTCAGGCTCACATGTTTATAGACACACACTCTTTTAGCACTTATGCTTTTTAAAATACACATTCACACAGACACTTCCTCCTAAACACATCCACTGACCCATTCAACACTGGCACATGCACCCACACTTTCTCCCACTGTCCAGTGACACACAGACACAAACACACAGGCCCATAAGTTCTCGCTTAGGTGTTGCCCACCCCACCCCCACCATACCCAGACCTTCAGCCTTCAACGCTGAGTGATGCCCACACCCATGCCAAGCTGGCTGGGAGGGTCACAGACTGGCGGCCAGGCCACCACCCAGATCAGGCTGGGCCACCCATGGAAGGGCTGGGCGGTGGCCCAGCCCCCTGCTTGGACGGAGAGAGGAATTTTCCCCCAACTCATCTCCTAGCCCTGGATCCAGCCAGGCTGATTGGGTCCTTTCTGAGCAGAACCTCACCCAAAGGGAGCTGCCAGAGCCTTGGGACTGGGTAATGATCCCAGGGGTCCCAGCCCCACAGCCTTTGCCCCACGGCACCCCCCTGTTCCTCACCTCTCCTGCCACTGAGCCGCTGCTGATGCCGTTGGTCTGCGCAGGGGAAGCCCTCTCTCTGCCCAGCTGGCTGGGGGACATCCCACCCAGACAAAGAGTTTGATTCATCAAGCCCTGTGGTGAGCTAGCAGGGAGGAGGAGGGAGCTGGCAGCGGGCTGGGCGGGGGCCTACCCAAGGCTGGCCTCACTGTGGGGAGGCCGGGCAGAAGGACACCCCCAGGGCCCCCTTGGACCTCAGGGCACTGCCCGGCCTGGCAGGGCCCAGACACCCAGGTGACGGAGGCAGAAGGAGACCCAGAGAAATGGAGACCATTTAGACAGCAACTCAGAAACTGAGACCCTGAAACAGTTGAAAACAGCAAAACCACATATGCTGAGACATGCAGGGACCCAGAGATGGAGACAGAGACAGGGACACAGGAGATTTCACAGTTGCATACTCAGAGACAGATGTGAAGCCCAGAAAAAAACCCAGACGGGTGGACAAACAATTCATGCCCTATGGGGTTGCCAGTCTGGTGGAGGAGCCAAAAACAAAAGCAGTTACAATCCAGACTGGCAAGAGCCAAGCCACAGGCACCATTGAAGTCAGGTGCTGGGCCCATCTCAACCTCAGTACTCCAATCCAGGAAGGCTTCCTGGAGTGGGCAATGGCTGACAGCTTCATGGCTAAAATTCCCAGGGACCCAGTGCACATAGACAGGGAGTGATTTCTGGACTGAAAGAGCAACAGAGTTTGCAACCCTGGTGAGCAAAAGGGAGGACCCAGCGGACTCTCTGCACAGCCCCTGGACTGCTGGTCTCCTCCTCCCCCAGCTTCCCTAAGGTGGTGGCTCCAGCTTGGACCTTTGGCCTCTGTGCCTCCATGAACCTTGGTTTCCTCATCTGGCAAATAGGAGAATTGTGCCAACTTTGTAACACCAAGGTGAGAATTAATGATAGCTCATTCACATAAAGCATTTTAAGCACAAGCCTGTAATCCCAGATAGTCAGGAGGCTGAGGCAGGAGGATCATAAGTTCAAGGCCAACTTCAGAGTGGGAGTCTTGTCCTTGAGAATTATTCCTTGGAGTATTATTGTCATCAGTCTTTCTCTAGTTGGGAGATGGCTTGGGCCATCAGCCAGATGGAGAAAACAAAGACACACATCGTAGGAGCACGTGGAAGGGGGCACAGGTGGGCCTGCCCTCTGGATAGGTCTCTTCCTCCCCAGGAATCAGACCCTCAAAACACAAGCCCCACTTCAGAGGGTACACGTGTGCAAGCGTGTACCTGTGCCTTGCTCTCTTATGTTCTGGGAGATTCTCTCCCCTTGGGTTCCAAAGTCCCTGGAGGGTGGGGAGGGAGCCCTGTCTTTACAGGGATACATAAGCAAAATGTTGAGTCCTTGGGGCAGAGGCACCCCCAGTGTAGGCCTCCAGGGAGAAGGCTGGGTGCAAGTGGGGAGAGGAAACGAGGAGGGCACTCTGGGGAGACAAGCTGGAGGGAGGTCCCCAGGGGCAGGCCAGGGGTGAGGCAGTCTCCACCCAGGCCCAGGCCCCTGGCGATGGGAATGACCCATCCAGCTGGGATGCCAGCCCATGGCTTTTCAGGGAAGTGGCCCACCAGACCTCCATGTTGGGTATCAAGTAGGGCAGAGATAACCTCAGGAAGAGAACTGGCAGCAGAGACATCACCTGCCCTGGACATGATCACAAGATAAGAGGTTGCAGTGCCCATTAGCCCAGGGTCATTCTGGAATCCAAAAAAACACTGTTCAAGGCCAAAGGCCCCCATGCTGACACTGACTGGCTCTGTGAGGCCCTCAGCAAATTCTAGCCCATCCCTAGCCTCAGTATCCCCATCTGTAAAGTGGCCCTGAAAGCCTCCCTTTAAGAATCCTGAATCATCACAAATGTCTGCAGGCCCAGAAGGATGGGCAGAGGCCAAGAGGAGTCTGGTCCAGTGTGCACTGCTCACTACAGCGGGGGGAGGCCCACTTGGCAAGGCTGGCAGAGAACATCCTGGACACTACTGTGGTCCAGCAAAAGCACTTAGGCCCCTGCACCCAGCTCTTTTCCCTGCCCCCTGCCCCTTGCCCTGCTACCCAGAGGTAAAGGACCCCTCTCTTAAAGGACAAAACCAAGTGGTAGGTCACAACCAGAAAGGGGATCCAGGCCAAGTGGCCTGCAGAGCCCAGGGAGGCCGCAAGTCGATGGGGCCAGAATCAGAGCCAGGTAGGCAGCACAAAGGACTCCCTGGGAAGCCCAGTGGGAGGAGGATGGGGCTGCTGGCACATGCTGGGGCCCTACCTCAGCCAGGGAGCTCCGTCCCGCTTCAGGCACAGTCCAGGGCTCCAGGCCACCCTGGGGGCTCTGGGGCTGCAGCCAAGTCCTCAGGGGGCGATGTCAGCATGGCCCCGGAGCTGGGCAGCAAAAGCTCCGGGGTATTGTGTGGGGCGGGGAGGGGAGGCAAAGGCGGAGGGAACCTCGCAGAGAGGCAGGCTGCTGTCTCAACGTGCCTGCTCCCCACCCCCTTCCCAGAACCGGTTTGGCCAGTCTGGGGTACAAGGTGGGGGGGCTGGAACAATGGGAGCCCTATGCCTGGGAGAGGCTCTGAGGGACCCCAGACAGATGACCTAAAGATGAGGGAGGGACCACTTCTGCTCCTAGGAGACAAGTCACCCCTCTTCTAGGGATTCCCAAATGTCAGGGGTGCTCAGGGGACTTGCTGGGGCCAAGGAGCATCCCGGGAGTTCACAGAGAACATCCCAAGCTTCAGAGTTATCAGGGGCCCTGAAATCTCACTGATGCTCTCGGAGCCTGTTATTGCATCTGTAAAATGGGAACATTCAGCTGGATGTTTCCAGATGGAAATCAATCCTGAAAACTGGAGGTGTGGCACCATACTGGACAACCCCTCTAGCATGGCTTCTTCACCCAGGCCACCTATCCTTCCCCTCAGCCTGGCAGGACCCACTTCACCAACTCCAATAGCCTCCTCCACCATGAAGCCTTCCCACACTGAGTCCTCAATAACACAATTCGAATAGCTGAAGTCCACCCTGCCTTGTACCTGGTGTACAATTTTCCCATTCCAAGCCTGCAGAAGAGGAAGCCATTTTTCTTGTATTAACCCCTTCCATTTATTTAAGCATTCTGGTAATGTAAATACTAATGCTCATGCTGTACACCAGGCATGACTCTGAGCAATGCATATGCATTCATTCATCTAATCTCCACCACAGCACTAGGAGGCACACACTGTGACTGTAGCCACTTAGCAGCTGAGCACAGGTACGTCACCTGAATTGTCCCACTGGAATTTCTCATCAATTCTGTGAAATCCCATCATTTTAAAGGTGATTAAATTGAGTTTCAAGGGTTTAAATAAATCGCCCAAGGTCTCCTAGTTAGTAAGAACTAATACTGAAACCCAGGTCTGTCTGACTCCCCCAACCTCTGTCCTTAACCACTGCTGAGCACTGCCTCCCCAGGCTTGTGGGATCGTCCAGTGAGCAGTGTGAAAGTCTGTAGGGAGATGACTCAGTAGACGAGCTAAATCCTTTTATTATGGTTCACACACCACAGACCCTTATGAACATACAAGCAGGGGGATCTGTGGCCCCAACCCCTATGAACTCTCACCTGATAGCCATTGGCCCTTGAATCCACTCTGCACCCTGCCCCCCCCCCCCATCACATAGTGAGGAGACACTGCCCAGGGTGGATGGGGGCCAGGTGGCCATGGAAAGGTCGCACGCAGAGATAGGCTAACTGTCAGCGCCTCAGAGAGCCAAAGGCAGGGAACATGGAGAACTCTAACCTGTTCATCCTTGGCCAAGGCACTGCCCAGACTCCTAGCTGGAAGCCAGAGAACTCCAAGCGAGGGAGTGTCCTTAGGGTCCTCACTCATTGCCCGTGTCCCGAACTTGGGGAACAGCACCCCTGCTGCAGCGGACAGGGAAATGCTTGGTCAGGTGGGGGCTGGCCCCCAAGCACAAAGCCTCCCCCTACCCGGCAAGAGCACTCAGCAGGCGAAGGGGGCGGGGAGGGGCGGGGCTTGATGAAGGGCGGTGGAAACTATAGCAAATCCAACCAGTCGCCCTGGGCGAAGCCAAAGAGGGCTGCCTAAGGGGCGCAGTCAGTGGGGTGCGGGTGGGGTCAGCCTCCTTGGGCTCTGCTGACCCAAAGCAGCGCAGCACCACCACCACCCCGCTTGTCTACCAGGGCCTGCTTGGCCAGGTAGTGCCCACGCTTTATCTTGGTATCCAAGGCCCTGGCACCTCGAGGGTGAGCTAGGCGATGAGGCACAAGAAGAAGAAAACCAAAGGATGGGGAGAAGTGGGGAGGCAGAATGACTACTTTAGCAGTCTTCCCTTCCCACTGGGAACTGAACCCAAAGCCTTCGCGCTGAGCTACATCCTCAACACGACCCCCCCCCCCCTCCAACTCGCCTTTCTCCTGTCAGCCTCCCAGAGGGCTGGGATTACAGACCTGGGCCACTAGGTTAGCCCGGATAGCAGTCTCGATTTATGGAGCACTAATTATAATGTGCAAGGCACGGTGCGAGCTCCGAGATTTAAAATTCATTTAACTCTCACAACAATCCACCAAGGCGGGTGTAATTTATACTCCCGTTTTATAGATGAACAAACCAAAGCATAACGGGTTGTCATTTGCCCCCAAACACAGAGATGTACTGTGAACCCTTTAGCACTGTTATAGGCCCAGCTGGAGACAGAGGATTTTAAGCAAAGCTGGAGGGACCAGCTTCCTTTCTTCCCGTCAGGCCTTTGCCAAGAGATAATATTCTTATTAGTGATAATGATACACTGAGCGCCTACACTGTGCAAGTGTACGACACCGACTCTTCGTAACGACCCTATAAAGAAGATCCTATTATATAATTCATCCATCCACAGCAAGTCGGCGACCGAGTCTGAACTCGAACCAGTTCTGTCCGAGACAGAGGCGGAGCCTACCTCTAAGGGGGGACAACGCCCAGACGCGCGACCCACAGCCCGCACCCGCAGCTCCCAGTGGAGGAGGGTGAGGCTCCCTGCCTGGTCTCTGACGGCCTCCCACCCTCCCCGCCCCTGGAATCCGGCTCTGCCCCTTTAACACGAACTCCAGTGAACTCTGCACAACTGTCCGCCGGGCCGACTCAGCTTCCTGCTGTCCCAGCTGGGCCCCCTCTTGGCAAAGCCACGCCTCCGAGCAGGCCACGCCCATCAAATCCAAGGCACCGCCCCTCAGGCGCCGTTCTCCGCGCGCGGCCAGCCCGCAGGATCTCCTTCTCCCACCTGCGGGTGTGTAGTTTTCCGGGGCCAAGGGCGGCGCCCGTGAGAAGCTGACGGAGTCGCGCAGCTGCCTCTGGAATTTGTACTGGTAATGACCCGGCTGGAAGTCTGAGGTGAAAGCGGGGTGGAAAGCACGATGAGCCTGCGCCCGGGTTGCCAGTCCTCTGATTTCCCCACCCTCTGACCCCGACGCCCCACCACAGCCCCCTTTTGCCTATCCCCGAGCCTCTGCACCAGTCTCTGACGTCCTCACCCACCGCACGGCGCTCAGACTTGGGAAGCCGGAAAGGCGCCCTCAGCCCCCGGTGTCCAGTCAGGTCTCCACCCGGCGCAGGACCAGGAGAACAGGGGCGCCGGCGGGAAGGGGGCCACAATGACGAAGAACCCAAATTACAGCTCCGGAGCACAGGGTGTCAGGCCTGGGGCCACCTCCCGCTGTGCTCACCCCTCCACAGGTATTCATCACACAGGCCTTAGAGCCCCATGAGTTCATAGTCCTCCTCCTGTCGCGGCCCCACCGGGATGTTCAGCAGCCCTGCCAACTGCGCAGACCGTGGCCACCCTCCAGCCTCCCGCAGGAGGGCCAGGGAGACCAGATCATGGTCGAAACAACAGCCTGTGTCAGAAACTGCCCTTTCTATCCCCCCAATATCCCGTAGAAGGAGACACCAGAGCTGGGCTGTGCCTGGTGGCACGTGCCTGTAATCCCAGCTCTCTGGGAGCCTAAAGCAGGAGGATTGCAAGTTTGAGCCCAGCCTAGGGAATCTAGTGACTTAGTGAGACCCCATCTCAAAATTTAAAAATGCAGGGCCAGGGATTTAGCTCACTGGCACTGTGCCTGCCTTGCAAACGCAAGGTTCTGAGTTCAATCCCTGGTACAAAAAAAAATACACTCAATTTAAAAATGGGATGGGGATGTAGATCCTGGGTTCAATCTCAGGTATTGGAGGAAAAAAAAAAGTAAACGCCATGATTATTTCCACTTTACAGATAAGCAAACAGAGCCCAAGACTCCCCAAATTGTGAGTGGTAGAGCCAAAGCTCAAATCCAGTCTGTTGGACTCTGGGGTCTAGTGCTCTGGAACTCAGTGCACCCCACATGATCATTCCTGCTCTCTAAAACACCCTCTCCTCTCAAATAGTAACAGGAGCCCCAGTTTGCAAAGCTCTTTCCTGTTTTTTTTTTGTTTTTTTTTTTGTTCTTTCCTGTTTTACATAGCACAATGTTCTCTGCTCTCCTGGAGAAGAAGTGTTATCATTCCTCACAAGAGAATGGGTTAGGACCTGTGGCTCTGACTGCTGACTCCCTGTCAAGGCTGCTTTCTGCTTTGCCCTCCCTGTAACCTACCTAGGCCCAGTCCTGTCCCTGAATCCTGTCCTCCACATTCACAGCATGATGAACTCCTCCACAGTACTGACCAGGTATTTGCCTGGCCTGGTGACCTAAGGGATGCTGAGCAAGTGCGACAGGAGGCATCCAGGGCCTCGCTGTTGTGGGCAGACACATGGCACCTTACTCAGGCTTGGGGCTGCATCGGGGTGACTCAACCTCCCTTCCCTGCACTCAGCTGGCCACCTGCTCCTCTCACCCACCTTGAACACTGCAGAGGCAGATCCTGCCCCTGCAGACTTGAAGATGAGGTGACTCCTCCTCCAAGAGCCAGTACCCAGGGTCCTCATGTCCTCATGCCACATGCCAAGCAATGTGTCGTACTGGCCAGGATACCCCGCCAACCTGTAGCCCTGTTGGCAATGTGCCCTCCTTCTCTGCAGCCTGGCAGAGATGTCCACACTAAGGTTGACCCCCCTCCCCACTCTGCTTCTGGTCCTCTGGCCTCCTTACTGAGGGCTAAGCCTGCTGACAGGGATGATGGGAGGTCTTGCCCATCCCAAGCCCCAGAGGCCAGGTCCCATGGACCATAGCTTATACTTACTGCTCAACCCATGACTGGCAAGAAAGATGGAATCATGGAGCCAGCCAGTGAGCTCTGCTGATCTTCTTTCCATCCCACCAACAATAACCACAATTACATAGTAACACCACCTCCTGGAAACCCTGCCCTTATTAAACTAGAAGGGAGGAAGCTCCGATTCACTGTTGTGTCCCCAGCATTCAGCTGTGCAGCAGCGAGGCCCCCCACAAAAAAAGATGGGGATGAACCCAAACTGCAGCAGGGGCAAGTAGAGGTGGCAGGCCTGGGGCTCCCCAGTGAGGGCCCAATGAAAGAATTAAGTCAGGCATTAGATGCTCACACTACCTGTCATTGATGCTGGTGAGTTACAGTTGAGAAAACTCTAGCTCAGATAACTCAGGAGCCAGCTTCAAGGCCAACAGCAAGACTCTGGTGGCCAAAGGGTGCCGTTAGGCCACTGGGTTGGTTGGTTGGGAGGCAACAGCCTTGGGGCAGAGAGCAGAGTTGGGGTTAGGGAGCATCCTCATCTGTCTTTGAAAATGGTAGACCTTGCTGTTGGATCAGTACCAGGCTGAGCACAGTGCTGCTGGTGTTGGCAATATTGGCAACCTAGACAGCATAACCAGTCATCCACCTGGAGCCTGCCCATGTGGAGGTGTGGGAGGGACCTCAGGATGCCCACTCTAGGAGTTAGGAAGGTGCCCCTGCTTCCTACTGCCCCTTGGCACTTACTTGGGGCATGAGCATGGTGACCAGTGGAAACCATTCCGATGTTGATAATGCCATGGTAAATTATTACAGATGTGAGGAAAACTGACAGGATGCAGAGCTGTGGGCCAGCAGGGAGGGCTTCAGAGCTGGAGGGTGGGCACACTAAAGGATGAGTCCTCTCAGGGCAAGGGCCCAAAGCCCCCTCACCATGAGTGGGAAAGGCAAGTGCAGGAAGGGAGCCGGGCTCCTTCTAGTGTCACTGAGTGCTGGGCCATCTGAGGCCAGGGCAGCAAACTCCAAATATAGACCCTCCTATCAGAGGGGCAACAGAAGTGTGCATCCTGTGGCCAACAGGTTGATGTCTCCACCCTAGGGTGGGGAAGCCCCTGGCCTTTTCCTGTCTACACAGAGAGCTCTGGAAGTGTAGGAATGAGGCCTGGTTTATTTTTGGAGTTTCAGGGCCTTTTCCCAAAGTGCTGATTAAGAGTCAGTGGGTAGGGGGGCTGGGGATTTAGCTCAGTGGTTCCGCTGCCTGCCTCACAAGCGGAAGGACCCAAGTTCGATCCCTGGTACCAAAAAAAACCCCAAACAAACAAAGAGTCAGTGGGTAGGGCTGGGGATTTAGCTCAGTGGTTTCGCTGCCTGCTTTGAAAGTTCGAGGACCCAAGTTCAATCCCCAGTACCAAAAAAAAAAAAAAAGAGTCAGTGGGTGGATGGATGGATAAATGAATGAGTGGGTAAGCAGAGATGTACAGAACAAATAGATGTGTGGAGAGGGCTAGATAGACTGATGGATGGGTGGGGCAGTAGGTGGACCAATAGGTGAGTAACCTGAACAAGCAAATAATCAGTGAATCTCTCTAAGTGAGCACACAGGTGGGTGGGTAGAAGGGCAGATAAATGGATGGATGGATGGATGGATGGATGGACAGGTGAATGACATGATAGCTTAACCAATAACTATTAATTGACTATATACTGCTCTGCAGTGGATACTAGATACTCTATGTTTAACAAATTGGACAAGTTCTGTGTTCCAATGCAGTTTACAGAGTAGTTAGAGACAAACATTAAACAAATTAACACAGATGTATAACTGTAAGTCCTATGAAGGAACGTTCTTTTCAGGGATGGTCACCTGGAGGAAATGACATTGTTAGTTGACATCTAAAAACATAAAAAGTAAGGGAACAGTGAAGAAGCATTTTGATAAGAGGTAGTTGGTCCAAAGCCAGGGCCCCTCGGTAGGGCCACATGGGTTGTGTACCACATTCTCAGAGGACACCATTGACAGTGACTCTCTCAGTGTTCCCCTTCTGCTGGCTCAGTTCTCCAACACTTATTTAACCAAACTTTAGATTAAATCTCTGTTGAAATACTTTGGTTCTAGGGCCGGGGATTTAGCTCAGTGGCACCTCACTTGCCTGGTAAGCACAAGGTCCTGAGTTTAGTCCCCAGTACTGTAAAAGAAAAAACAAACGAAACTTTGGTTCTTGTTTTTCTTTTTTTTTTTTTTTCTTGTTTTTCTATAGCCCTAACTCATTAAATGATGGCTTATTGGACAGATGGGCCAGACAGATCCTTAACGCAGATTCACTGAACAAACATTAGCGGAGCACCTTCTGCATGCTAGCCACTATACTGGCCACAGGATAAAGCAGTCAACATCACACATGGGGTCTCTGAGCTCAGAGGCCACACATTCTAGCAACAAAAAAAAGGCAATAAACAAAATACAGTGATAAAGGCTGTGATGAAATTAAACACTGACAGGGAGCTTCTTGGGATTAGGTGGTCAAGGAAGACCTCTTTATGAAGGTGAGATTGCAGTTGAGGCCCAAGTGACAAGGAGGAGGCCATGTAAAATCTGGGGAGAGAGGATTCTGGCAGAGGACCACCAGTGCCAAGGCCCTGGGGTGAACACAACCCTGCCCTATTCAAGGAGCCCATGAGGCCAGTGGAAGAACCAGCCAGAGGCCACCCTGGTAGTTTCCCAAGTGTATCCTAAATGAGAACCAACCAGAGGGTTCT